CCGCCCGCACACACACTCGTCCTTTTCTCTCTGTGTGTGTGTCCCCTTGCATGGACTCTCGCCCTCACCTCACCCCACGAGGCACACACATAATGTGCCCATTGTATATATGCATGCACACCCATGCAGGCCCGTTGGTGCTCTCTTTTGCACGACACGCACCGCTGCCGTCCTGCCTGGCTGCATGGGCGGAGCACCGTAACTGTTTCTGTTTTGTTTTTATTGCATTGAGTGGGCGACCTCTCTCTCTCTCCCTCTGTGTGTGTGTTTTGCTTTACGGGAGTAATGAGAGTGTGTGTGCGCTGGTCGTCCCACGCTTCGGCTTTTTTTTTCTTTTTTGTTTTGAATCTTTGCGTGTGTTGTGGTTGGGTGCGCCCATTTTAATTTCATTGATTGGTTTTATTCCTAAAGTGCGGATGGCTGAATTTTCCCTTTTGTATTCTCCTGTTCTTTGTTTCTTCCCACGCAATCGGTCCTTGTTGCTTCAGCGAGCCACGAAATATTTGCCTAACACCCACATCAATGGCTTACTTGCTCTACACCCCACATTAGTTTGAGACGCTGGTGCTGCTGCATGTGATGGTGTTTATGGTGTGATTGCCAGCGGGTGCTTTGCTGTCACTTTTACGTACCCTCGATTTGTTGAATATGTTATGCGTGCCGAATGCACGAATTGGATCCGCGTTGTTGTGAGGGACGCACCCTTTTTGAGCAGTTGGTGCGCTGCAGCCATAGACCGTCATTGGGAGGGATGGACGCCCATCCGCATCAACGTATCCACAAGGGACCTGAATGATACCGGGAAGCATTGGATCTCAGAGAGGTACTACGCAATGAATTCGTCGAATGGCAATTGCGAGTGTGAAGGTGACGTTGTATCCTCTGCGCACGGGATCATTCTTGACAATGAAGTTGTCCCTGCTGCTGTCAAACCGCGTGCGGATTGTCTGCTCGTGCAGCCACTGGAGGGTCCTTTGATTGTGCCCCCATTTGCCACGGGCAGTGTTTGCATTCGGTTTACGGTGCGTGCTGGGCATTGTTCCACTGGTGTTGCCAATGCTGACATGGTGCTGTGCGTGGCAGAGCGCTGTCGGTGGTGGTGCACTCGACGACTGCCGTGATGGCTGCGAGGAGCACCACGACTGCGACGACATTGATGGCATGGAGCTGCAGGATGGCGATGGTGACGGGAGGACGCTGGAGTCGCACTGGTCGCAGCGCCAGGCGAAGGATGAGTGGATGGCACCGATGGGGAGTGCCGGCTGCCGCACGGAGCTGACGCTGGCCGCATTGGCTGACCTGGGCTGCATGAGGGTGAGGTGGGAGATGGCGGAGCCGATGCGTTGGTGAAGGAATTCGGGCTGTGCGCTGCTGCGGTGGAAGTGCTCCGCACCGAACATGAGTGGATATCCCCAGGTGTTCTGAAAAGCGGGCGTTCCTGCCAGACGCTGCACGTTGGATCGGTATTCCAGTGGTTGGTGTGTAGACGAATTATCCACGAAGGGTCAGCAAAACGCCCGATGGACAGTTGCCCCATCATTGGTCCCGCACTGGATGTGAGAAATGCTGCCGCTGTTATTTGGAGGGGAGAATGTTTGTCTGCGGTGCCTGGGGACAAGCCCTCTTCGCGGTGTCTGGACACGCCTCCCACCAACACGACGGATGCGAGGGACCCGGAAGAAACATACATCTCGGTGCTGTCATGCATGCGGCATTGCGGTGCCTCAGCATGCGGGTGCGTCTGAGAGTGACTGAAGAGGGTAACGCCCGTTGTGCCCCATGCACGGCCGAGGCGACGATTACGTGGGTTGCTCCGCCCTACGACGAGGGAAAAGCTATTTTCCGTGACCACGCGCAGGTGTGCACGATATCCGCCACCAGCGGCAGGATACTTCCAGTGGTTTCGTGCGGTGGCGATGTGAGAGGGTGTATGGAGCAGGACGGTTTCACTGGCATCTACTGAACAAGCTTTGCTACGGGCATCCGTCCCCGATCCAGAGAGCATTGGGACCGGCCGCGGCACACCACCGAAGTAGGTGGACACGGCTGCTCCCCAGAAGCATCCGTCGCCAGAGGAGAGGGAAGTCGCCTCAGGTGCCACGACGGCAACGGAGTGCTCTTGCCCAGCGACACCGCGGGTGCGCCGCAGGAGGCGGAGAAGGAGAGCGATCTTCCGGACATCGACGATGTGGCCGCCGATGGTGTGACGTCTGTTGTGGGACAATCATTAGGAGATGAGGCCGCCAGCGACAAGGCCGGTGGCGGTGCCACAGCCACGGGAACCAAGGGCCCTGATGCCGCTGATGACGCGCAGGGCGCCGTGGACCCTTCGCCGAGGGAGGATGAAGCGGCGGTGGTGCACGGGGGTTGGGAGGCAGACATGAAGGACGCCTCGCCTCCGATCCACGGCAATAACAGTGCGGCTGCTGCTTGTCCCTTTCCGCTGATTCTTCTGCTTGCCGCTGCCGCCGCGGTGGCAACACTCAGCAATGGGTACAAGAGAGAAAGGCCTATATCAACTGGCATGTTCCTATCAGTATATATACATACGCTCTGCTTGTCCGTATACTTTGTACCAAGGACATGCTGTATGCACTCTCCCTCTTTTGTATTGTTCGCTGATGTGGCGGCACCACGCGTGTATTATGGGTTGGGATAAGAAATTGTTTGACTTCTTCTGGAAGATACTGTGGGGTGTTTGTGTGCGTGTGCGAGGGATCTGTGTGGTTTTGATTTCCCTATTTTTACCTGCTTTGGCATTGTGTAATGATACTTCCCTTCTCCATTATGTGTGTTCTGAATTGTTGCTAGGGCACCGGGAGTGGATGCCTGTGGACGCACGCCGTGGATTATGCGCTACATTGGTGGGAGGGGAGACTGACATAACTGGCGGGATTCAGTAAGGCGCATTTTTGCCCACGGACCCTGCAGCTGCA